AAACAATGACGGATTCGGATTTTTTCACCGAAAGCGATGCCGATATACACGACGATTTGTCTTTGGCGGCTGCTGAAATCGGTTCGGGGAGAGGTGATAGAAAAGCACAAGTCATCGATGGAACTCTTTACGGCGGAGTATCAATTCAAAATCACGCTGTCGTTAATACGGATAACGAGAGAAATGACGTCGTGACAAGTCATTTGGTTAATCGGTCCGTTACGACTAACGAGGACATGGAATCGAGTGGGATTTATTCAGATTTTGAAAAAAAAACCGAAGAAAATTGCCCACCTAAAACGGAATCCGTTTCTTATTTGGAAATGATAACAGAGCAAATGAAAACGATACAGAATCTTGCTCTCGCTTCGGCGGAAAAAAAATCCCAGCAAGATTCTTCGACGGATCGCATAGTCAAATCAAGCAGCGGGGAATCGTCGAAAACCGTTTACGAAAACACGTCTGTTGTAACTTCCGCTAAAAAAAGTAGCAAAGGAGGAGATTACGCCGCGACGGAGCGTAAAGAGTCTACACCTACTACTAAAGTATCCAGAATGCCGAATAGAAACGTACCCTCGAAAATAAAATCTTTCATCGAAGCAGCACCGGTCACGGAAGTGGAGGGAAAAACCAAAGTTGTGAAAAAGGGAAAATGGGATGATGTCATGGATAAAATAGCACAGGGAAAAGAGGAGAATAAGCAGGGGCAGATTTTTGATGAGAATTTCCCGTGAGGCTTATATCACTCAGAGAACTCCTTTGAGAACTATTTGGTGACAATGATGTTCTCGATTGTTTAGATTTTGGCGATACCAATGACGATTCCGAACTTCGTATTCGAGTACTTCGTCGGCTGAAAATAATAATAATAATAATAATAATAATATTAAAATCAACGTAAATTACGTACACTACAAACAAAAATACTCTACTACGCTATTTACAATAAAATACCGCAACCAATTATAAAGTGTTTGTCCACATTTTTTTTATTAAACATATATACATCAAACACACAAGTTAAAATCTATATTAAAAATCGAAATGATGATAATAATAATAATAATAACAAACACAAAACAAACAAACCTAAAAATAATATTCAAAAAATATTTAGCTGATTTACATTTTGAAAATCGTGCAACGACATTTTTACCCATTAATAACAAACGGTTAAAAAAAAAAATTTTCCCGATCCTCCTACGTGTAAAACAAACAAACAAACATGTGCAAACAAATTCTCACGTTTTAATTATGGTACATGTTGATTTTTGTACCATAACACAAAATTAAATCATATTTTAATAAACGTTAAAAATTTTTTTTTTTTTTTACGTTAAAAAAACACAAATAAATAATAATAATAAAAATATAAAAAAAAACGCACGAAAACAAACGTAAAAAATAAACAACCGTTCGATTATTTATTTACTCTATGAATATTTTTTTAAATTATCATATCGGCCACTATTCGCGTACGACGACGAT